GGGAAAGAGAGAAGGCAAGTTTTTAAAAAGCAACGCATTCAGAGTGCTTAGTCATAGATTCACGAACACAGGAGGGGTGGCAGAGGCCTATTTTCATCCTGAAGCTCCCCCTCACGTCCCAGACTTGCTCGGCTGTGTTTGCTGTTGAGATAACATCCCCTTCCCCCACCACCCACAGATTGCTGGAGGAACAGCCGTTGAAAAAAAAAAAAAAAAAAAAAAAAGGCAGTTGCCTTACTCTGCCTGCAGGAGAAATGTCAGGAAGTGTCTGATGGTGGGTGGGATGAAAGGAGGAAGCTGAACTCAAAAGAGAATATTCTAGCTTAGCTCTGCTCGTGCAAACAAATGCCCCTCTGTATTTTGCTTGATAAGAACGTGCAGTGGCAGGGTCTTCCCGTGTGCAGGCAGGACAAGCGTGGAGTGGTTGCTTACACACCTCCCAGGGATTTGATTTGTACTTGCTGCATTACCCAGAGCACTCTGTGAACTGGAGGGTGAAAAGACGTAAACAACTCGGCAGAGAGACGAGCATCATCAATAATTAATAGTGTCTTTTTGTAATGGGGATGGTCCAGTATTAATTATGAAGTTAATTTCGATTTGGATGTGGGCGTATATGAAATTTGGACCAGAGTTTAAGTTCAGTGCAATCACGCTTTTATTCTAATTACAATCATTATAAATCCATTCTGCATCTTCTTTTAAGTCTCAATAACACAGACTTCTGTTTTCAAACATGCCAGGCATCAGCTTTTGCACACCGGCTATGGCAGTTCTCAGGTCCCCTAGGTGAATCCGATTGTAAATACAAAGGAAATTGTTTTCATTCGTTGCCACTCTGCAGCCCCACAGAAATGCGAAATTACGCCAAGAATGTAGGTAGTCATAAATACATCAGGCTTCTAAAATCATACAGTCAACAATGATGAAGAAACTGAACTGCATACATCACGAAATATTTAAATAGATGGTGACCAACATGTGCAAATCTGGTAGCTAGACTTTTACGGCTATTTCTGTACTATAAACAGCTGATGCTGCTCTGTGCCAGACTCCCCATCTTTTTCACTCCGTAGCCTTAAGAATTGTCAGGATGCCATCCACTACTCACCAGTTCTTGCAGTAGTTTTTGAAGCCAATTTTTGCACTGGGTGTTCCGTTGTGAAGAAGTATGGCAGACGTACAAAATGCAGGGGGAGAAGAGGACTGGGGTTATAAGAGCAGGGATTAATGTTTCCTTCGTGGGTTCAGTGATGGATTCATGCTTCTTTTTTCAGGCCCTGTGCTCGTCTTACCCATCCAGTCTCACCAACCAAACCGTCCCTCACAAACACGGGAGCACACAGCACTGTTGAGGAGAGAAGGAATGTCCTTGGATCTGCTAAACACTCCTACAAACCTCCCACATCGGCTGCATTGCCCATCCTGGGAAGAAGAGTGAAAGGTAAAAGGAAGGGAGAGGAAAAGAGGAAGGGGAAAAGGAAAGGGAAAGGAGACAAAATTCCTCTTGCACTTTCTCATGAGTGTACTGAACGTGTCTTCTGCAGAAGACCTCATTTATGTGACTTTGATGCTGGTTTGGATTTTGATAGAGGACTCAGAACTTCTGCTGCTTAAGATATTTCAGGAATTTTAATTAGTTCTGAGACATTAGAAATGGAAAATCCTGAACTTTAACCCTTTCGGGTTGAGAGAACACAGTCTCCAGCAGGATTGTGAACTGTGGGTGCGCATAGAGGTCAGACAGCAGACTTCCCTGCAGATCCTGTATTATCTTTCTTGTAGACTCTTCAACCTGATTCAGATCTCATTTATTCCACTATAAATCAAGATTATATCCAATGAAATCATTGATGTTACTGTGCAAAAACAATCAACCCTTGCAGTCGTTCTCTGCGTTTGCTTTACTATCACTGTAATCTCTTATCTGGCCCTGCATTACTTTCACTCATCTGGGTTAAAAAATGGCCTGCGGGCATATTTGTCATAGTGTACAGGAAAAACCTCTCAGAGAGCAGATTTAATCAGTACTCAAGCAGGGAGTGAAAACAGTGGAGGAGGGAGGGAGAGAACTCTCATCATCAAGTGCCACAGGAAAGTTGCTGAGCGTTCTGCTGAGGGGCTGAATGGCTACTGCAGCTATTAGCCACTCCTTTCATCCCCCCTCTGAGCTTTATGCACCAGAGGTTGCTGTAGGCATTTTACTTTCTCCTTTATTCTTTAAAGGTGACGCTGTTATTCACGAAACTGTTGAGCCCTGGAATAATGAAACCGTTCTGCAGAAATCCCTGCTGTTCCAGACAGGTTTATCAGAAAGCGCCACAGATTTGACTAGCAGAGCCTTTAGCAGGCTCCAGATTTCTGGGTGTCTCACTGCTGTGATCTCTCTGTCTGCTCCTGTCTTTTGCTTCATGATTATTTTTTTTTAATTGCTGAGCATCTCTTGTTCAGAGATACTACTTGAATTTTTGCAAACAGACATTAAACATTCCTCCTAGATCAAAAATGCCAAGGGAATGCCCAGGGAATGCAGACACAGCGCCTCCTCACATTTAATTGCTTCTTTTGGTGGTGTACATTACTGTGACTCGTGCAATTTTAGTATTTGCAGTATTTTGGACACAGAACCTCATGGGGTAATTATTCTTACTTAGCAGGTTGGACACATGCAGCTCTTCCCTCCTGCAATTAATAGTATGGAGATAAAGCAGATTTCTTCGTGTCAGTTCTTTGTTTATGTTTACAGGAGGAGGAAACGGTTTAGGGAAAAATTATCTAAATGAACTACCTGCTGAGATCCATGCATTTCTTACCTGAAGATTACCCTTTGCTTGATGGCAGCTGAGCTATTCCTATCTTCAGACCTCTGTGTCAGCCTCATTTCTTCCTTCAAATATTTCTTCCAAAGCCTGAAGTTGTCCGGATGAGTTTCCAGTCTCAGGCACAATGTTTATTTGGAGTGGGCCATACTGTGGAGAACATCCTCGGTGTTTGTTTTTGTATTAGAACAGCAAGCTGCCTAGTGTGAATATTTACAAAATCAGGTGATTGTTAGCCGAAGCCATTTTTATTTTAAGTCCTGGAACCTATATTGGTGTTTGTTTGATTTCAGTGCCAGGGTAAATATTCACATTGCAGTTACAGTGTTACAAAAGCAGGTACTCATATCCTGGCTGCTACTAGACACACGGAAGTTCAAAGCTACTTTGTAGACTTCAGCTGAGTTGTCCATGTCTATGCAGGTCAAGGACTGGAATTACACTCCCTATTTCTTTCAAAGGATGATAAAAATTAATACCTCCCTAAAATATAGTTCACTTGTACTTAGGACCCAACAAAGGTGAAAAAAACTCTTTTATACTCAGTATTTTTGTTGCTTTCTGAACAGAAACAACCAAGTGTTGCAATGAGGCCATGACAGTTTTTGTGCAGTAGGAGCCAGTCCCAAATTTCTTCTTCCAGTGCTTTAACCTCTGAGACACCTCGTGGTGGAAGCGTTTACTGCTGGCACTGCGGGGCTGACATCGCAGGGAGAATCCATTTTAGAACAGAACTTGGGGCTTGCTTTCTGCTGCAGTTGGAAGCGGCTGAAGTCCTAAAGCTGATGTAATACTGATTTGAGTAAAGGATAGATCTCCAGCAAATTTTTGTTTTAAAACTTTAAAGCCCCAGGAAAATTCATTTTGTTTGAAGCAATGAAGTCTGCCTTTGCCCAGGGCTTCACAAATATTTTTGAGATAGCTTGGTAATATTTTATCACAGCAACGCAACAGTTACAGGTTATGTCCACGTAAGGCAAGCATGTGGCTTTCACTTGGGCTTCACACAAAGTTTGTTACTGTGATCTGAAACTGAATGTGAAACATCAGTGGGAGCCTGGGAGCCTGGATGGATGAAAACCTTCATTGAAAATGTCACGTTGTTCTGACGTTAGCACACTAAATGTGTCTCCAGTGCAACACCACTGAAACCAATGATGCTAAATACACGGAAAGTACTTGTGGTCAGCTTTCTGTATTAGAATGTGTAATTTTGTCACCATAACAGTTTTTACAGCATCTTTGTTTTTCTACTCAGAAATCACAGACCCTGAAAGAAGCGGTTTGCATGGTTGTACATTTGGGGGGATCGACCTCCAGTCTCTTATCAGCGAAGGTGCTAAGCACAGAGCCCTGTCCTTTGTTTGCAAGGCGCTGGCAAATTGCAATGGCTTTAATCAGTTGAAATATCCATTTCTGCCACTTCCCTGTTCGGTTTTTCAAACAAAACTGGGTGAAAGCTCTCCCAGCCGCGACCTCCTGAGGGGAGTTGTGCAACACCGCCAGCCTCCGCCGAACAAATAGAAACTGGCATGGCAAATGTGCGCTCAAAGTAGGAGGGAAAGGCGCCAGCCGTGCTGGAAGGAGCCAGAAGCATTCTGAAAAGAGAGCTGAGACCCAGATTTTATTTTATTTTATAATTTATTTTATAATTTATTTTATATTTATTTTATTTTTTAATTTACTTATTTTATTTTTATTTTACTTTATTTTATTTCACTTTATTTCACGTTATTTTATATTTTTCTCTCAGCCGAAGCCTGCGGCTGCTGTGCCAGGAGCACCCCAAGGCCCCGTTCCCCCGCTGAGGGGCTGCTGAGGCGAGGCCGGGCCCCCCCGGGGTTGCCCGGGCCCCGTTGCCCCGGCGGTTTCGCGCCCGACTGACTCCGCGGGCAGCCAATCAGAAGCCGCGCTTCCTCCCTAAGCTCGCCTCCCGCCGCTCAAACTGCCCAATCAGCGCGCGGGAGGTTAACGGATCATCCTGTCCCCCATGTCGGCGGTCAAATGAACCAATCGGCTGAGGGCAGGCTCTTCACCAATAAGATCAAAGAGTTAGGGGGGAGAGCGGCACGCGATTGGCTACTCGGCCTATCAGTCTTCACCGCCGCGGCGGGCGATTGGCTATCGGGGGCTAGGGGGCGGTTTCCGGGGGCGGGGAAGGTATATGAGAGGCGGACAAAGGCGGCGGCGAGGCCGTTTCGCTCGCCGCCATTTTGCGCAGCGGGCTCTGAGGAGCAGCAGCCGGGGCGCGTCTCCTCCTCCTCCTCACCACCACCACCACCATGTCGCGGGATCGGTTCCGTAGCCGTGGCGGCGGCGGCGGCGGCTTCCACCGGCGAGGCGGCGGCGGTGGCCGCGGCGGCCCCAACCACGATTTCCGCTCCCCGCCGCCCGGCATGGGGATGGGCCAGAACCGCGGGCCCATGGGGGGCGGCCCGCAAGGCCCGGGCGGCCCGCCGGGCGGCGGCCCCAAGCCCGAACCCCCGAAGCCTCCCGCGTCGACCTCGGCTCCGCCGCCTTCGTCCTCTTCGTCCGCTTCCACCACGGCGGGGCCCGCCGGCAGCCAGCCCGGCCCTGGGGCTCCTCCGCCGGCCGCTCTGCCCGCGGGGCAGCCGCCGCAGCAGCAGGCTCAGGGCTCCGCGCCCGCCTCGGCTCCCCCCGGCCCCGGGGGGCAGCCTCAACCGCAGCCCAAGCCCAGCCCCAGCCCCACGCCGGCCGGAGGCCCTAAGAAAGGCCAAGGACAATCGCCCGGCGGCGGGCCCAAGGGGCCTGGCGGACCCCAGCAGGGGCCGGGCGGGCCTCATAAAGGCGGACCGGGCCACCGCGGCGGGCCGGGCGGAGAACCGCGGGGCCGCGGGCAGCAGCACCAGGGACAGCAGAGCCTCTCATCGCAGCAGGGCCCGGCCGGAGGCGGCGGAGGCGAGAAGCTTTCGGACGAGGTGAGTCATGGCGCCCTCCCCCCTTCCTTTTCCTTCCCTTCCCCTCCCCGAGCCACAAGATGGCGGCGGCCGCCATGGGGGCCCCGCGCGCCGCGGCCGCCATTTTGAGGGGAGGAGCGCGGGGCCGGGGGGCGCAGCGGGGCCGGGGGGCGCCGGGCCGCGGGGAGAGGCCCCCGGAGGGGATTTGGGGCCACAACGGGGTCGTCTCGGCTTCCCCCGCCGGTTGGGGAGCCGCGAAGGGCTGGCTCCGACCCGCTTTGCTTCTTCGTAGGGTTTTAAAGCGAATCTGTCGCTTCTGAGGCGGCCCGGGGAGAAGACCTATACGCAGCGCTGCCGTTTGTTTGTGGGGAATTTGCCTGCCGATATAACGGATGAAGACTTTAAGAGGTTGTTTGCCAAGTATGGGGAGCCAGGAGAGGTTTTTATCAACAAAGGGAAAGGCTTTGGATTCATTAAACTGGTAGGCTTTCATACTCTACGTCCACCTCCTTAAAATTATCCCGAAATAGTAATTTGTAGCGTGGTTTTCTAAAACCGGGTCTTAAATTCCCTCAGGAATCCAGAGCTCTTGCAGAAATCGCAAAGGCAGAATTGGATGATACCCCTATGAGGGGTCGACAGCTTCGTGTTCGGTTTGCCACACATGCTGCTGCTCTGTCAGTGCGTAATCTGTCACCTTATGTCTCCAACGAGTTACTCGAGGAAGCGTTTTCCCAGTTTGGTCCAGTGGAAAGAGCTGTTGTGATTGTAGATGATCGAGGTAGATCAACAGGAAAAGGCATTGTTGAATTTGCATCAAAGCCAGCTGCTCGAAAAGCGTTTGAACGGTGTACTGAAGGAGTGTTTTTGTTGACAACGTAAGTGTTTGGCTTCCTAGGAGTTTTAGCTTTAAGCTGCATAGAGTTGTCAGTTGCTTCTAGCTTTTCAGAGCGGAGATTGCTATGGAAATGTAAAATGTGTATTTCGTATTCAGAACTCCTAGGCCGGTTATTGTGGAACCACTGGAACAGCTGGATGATGAAGATGGTCTTCCAGAAAAGCTTGCTCAGAAGAATCCAATGTATCAAAAGTAGGCACTATCTTTTGTTATAAACAGTATATGGATAATGTAGTGTGATCCCAGGCTCTGAAGGAGTTAGGTTTTCAAATCTGGCTTTGAATATCCCAAAGAAACAGTGCATAAATACCAGCCTTTTAACATTTTTTTGGTAAGGGTACTTGCACAGCTCTTAAATCAGACTGTTTGCTCATACTGTTGTTGAAAATTGTCATCTTATTTAAGGCACGTAGCATGTTGATATCAAAGGGAACAATAAATTGTTTGTTACTAAAAGTAATAAACTAAAATTTTAATTTGTTTCATAACAGAGTTCCACATGGATTTGCCTTATCAGGCTGACTACTACACATGAAAGATGCAGTGATAGCTGAGTCTTTTCTTTAGTAATGTTAGGTTAAGACTTGTGTAGTGAGCCTATTAATTATAGAAACGTGTTTTTCAGATCACCAAAGGGAATGGAGAGGGAAGATCTTGTGGGTCTCAAAACAAGTGTGTGCAAAATGGCTTGTTAGGATCAAAAGCTATGAACAGCTTAGCAGCGATGTCTTTGAAAAGAATGCAGATCAGTGTTTTTCCTGAAATTGCTAATGCATGAAAAGTTCTTAAATTTCTCTAGTTTTGTTCCATTAATTACTGAATTTTTAACTCTAATTACTTTATATGACTGAATGAGATGTCAGGTGTTTTGGGGACTAAGTTAAAATATTACAGTTTTTTAACCACTAAGTCAGCACTGAAAAATCCATCTCTCTGTATCCTGGTGTTCTGAAAGCTAGTTAGGCAAAGGTCTTGTCCTTGAGGATTTTGCAGATGATGGATACCAGCAGTGGAGTGTTTTTAGGAGGAAGTTAAGAACAGGATTAAGCAGTAGAACTTGAAGCAGAAAGATTTGCTTGGTTATAGTGTGGGAGTCCCTTCATTTGCATTTGGTAGTCTGTGGACGAAATGCTGTTCTGTAAATCCGTAAGACGCTGTACTGTTCTCATCTTTCTGTCAAAACAAGCTGTATATTACATCATTGAGGTAGTATTTTGATGTTTTGAGGTTTTTTGATGTTCCCTAGTTCTTTGGCTGTTCTGCCTGTGGTCTTTTATTGACCTTCAGTTTCCAGGCTTATGCAGCCTGACCGAGTATCTTCCTTTCTGCAGGGAAAGAGAGACTCCTCCCCGTTTTGCTCAGCCTGGCAGTTTTGAATTTGAGTATTCCCAGAGGTGGAAATCTTTAGATGAAATGGAAAAACAGCAGAGAGAGCAAGTGGCAAAAAACATGAAAGATGCCAAGGACAAACTTGAAAGTGAGATGGAAGATGCTTATCATGAGCATCAGGCAAACCTCTTGCGTCAAGGTAATTGGCTCTGAGTTGTGTTTCTAAATGCTTTTTGCTCTGAATGCTGGCTTAGATGTATGACTGACTGTTTAATGGTTTTATGAATAAATTCATGCTTCCTGTTGTGAACCTGAGGATGATGGTTTCAGTCTTAGAAAAGAGAATGGTGGTTTCTCAGTTTTAACTTAAATGAAGTATAGCTAAAAATAGGGTTGTGCAGTGTCTGCTGTAGTATAAACAAGGTTGATCTAATTGAAATCTGAATTGAAGTCTGAGGTTGTGGAACCGCTGCTGACAAGCTTGGTTTCTGCAGATCTTATGAGGCGTCAGGAGGAACTGAGACGTATGGAAGAACTCCATAATCAAGAAATGCAGAAACGCAAGGAAATTCAGCTGAGGTTGGTCTGGCTTTTACAGGATTTTTCAGTTGTACGTTTGCTTCTTTTCAACTAAATGTGAAAACTTTTATTTTGTCAAGAACCTCCATTGCGGCTTCAGTTTGCATATGAGAAATTGAACTGCAGTGTAAGTTTTTTTTTTTCCCTTGAGTACTTAAGCATCATATGGTATGTCTTCTGCTGAAGTGTTACTGCTCATAGATGTGATGTTGATGGGATGTTGAAGTGTTACTCCTGTAGTTTAACGGTCTGCTTTGGGATGATCAGGCAGGAGGAGGAGCGTCGCAGGCGGGAAGAAGAAATGATGATACGCCAGCGAGAGATGGAAGAACAGATGAGAAGACAGAGGGAAGAGAATTATAGTAGAATGGGTTACATGGATCCAGTAAGTGAAAACATGATATTTTCTGGATATGTTACTGTGTCTCGGGGGATTTCTGGAATTCTTTGGATGCTTTTGAGATTGATGTGTTTTGCTTCCTTTAGGTTAGCTGATGTGATGTCTTAGTGTAAGTGAAGTGATAGTTGTTGGCCGTACGCGTGCTTTATCTCCTGAAAGGTAGAGATTTCAGTAAGATCCTGTGCTAAAAGTTGTTTCTTCTACGCAGAGGGAGAGAGACATGAGAATGGGTGGTGCCACCACAATGAACATGGGAGGTAAAGGATTTTTAAATAATTGCTTTCTGTGGTTACCTTAGAAAGTGCCAGAATATGATTCTATGTTTCTCTTCCTTAGATCCTTATGCTTCTGCAGCCCAGAAATTTCCACCTCTCGGAGGTGGTGGCGGCATAGGTTATGAAGCTAATCCAGGAGTTGGCCAAGCAGCCATGAGTGGTTCTATGATGGGAAGTGACATGGTAATGTATCCTGTGGTGGCTTTAGCTTAGCACAAGGGAAATGTTGCAGTTGGGAATTGAGTTCTGTGCTCGGATGGTTGTGTAAATTTCACTGTTAACTGCTGACTTTCTTGTCAGGTGTTTAACATGGAAGACTAGTTTGGCAGTATGTAGTACTAGTTTAGTTAACCATTATGGTAGCTTACACAGTTGGAAGTTGTTTGTAAGTGAATTCAAATGTGCTGTTAAGCATATTTGCAATTAACTCTGACTTTATTGGACTTCAGAAATCCTGCATCACAGTTAGGCTTGGAAGGATTCTTACAAGTTCTAGATAATCTGATGATTTTCAGAGTTTAAACAACATACCAGCTGTTCAGTAACTTGCATTTTGTATGGACAAGTGAGATCTTGGTTCTCCTTTCTGAAGTTTAACGCTGTGTTTCTTTTGGCCCTTCCAAGCCTAGTTAGAATTGATGCATGTTGGTATGGATATGCTGTTAATTCAAAAATCTGTGCTCATGTTTCTTTAAGCAGCAGATTAACTTAAGTAATGGTGAACAGCATATCACTTACTCTGTATGATGAAGTTTGCCATAGAAAAGCAGAAATGCTGTTTTTTTAGGTTTTAGACATGTTCCAGTGATCCTTGACTGTAGCCATTTTTGTGGTTCCTGACTCACACAGGAATGATAGCCTGTTCTGGTTGTTTTCTTTGTTGGGTATGACTACAGGTAGAGTTTATTAAAGCTACCGCATATCTCATGTTCTGAGGTATGTTTCCAAATGACTATTTTTGGCACACTATATGTGTGGATGGGCTTGGAGCCTGCTTGGTGTTATCACACTGAAGCAATACCGATATAGATTAAAGGAATGCTTAACGAGTATAATGGAAATCTATGTTGGTTTAGGCGGTGATGCTAGTGTGCGTTCACCCTCCTCGTAAAGGGTGTACAATGTTGCACAAGCTGTAAACGATTTTTGGGTGGGCTTAGGCCTCTGACTTAACTTGGTGAGCTACCATAGTAGCTTGTCAAATATCTTCTGTTTTTATGGGAACCGTATCTTTGGAATCATAACTTTGCAGAGCCTCATCGATTCAGTAGACAGTGCTGGTGGCCTTAATGTATCTATAATCTACTGATGATATATTTAGGCAGTTCCTAAGTTCACAGTGAACAGTTAGGCAGTCTGTGGTCAATGCTGTGCATATTTTTCTCCTCCTGAAATTCCTGGTACAGGTGCATGCTGAGCTTGTGGAATACTTGAAAACATGATCTGGTCAAAATGTGTGACAGAAAGATGGTTTTAACTGCCTTGAGTTTCTTAGGATGGGGATCTCTGCCACACAGTGCTGTCACAGTTACTGGGCTGCTCTCTTTATAAACAGAACTGGAGGTAGGCTTAAGCTGCTGTGATTTAGGCAGAGAGACCCCAGGTAGTATTTCTGAAATAACCTTTCTGGGAAGGATTGAAACAAACTTTCAGAAGTCAAGAACGTGAAGTAAAAGTTTTCAGTTGCAGGTACCTTTTGTAACAAGCAACCTACCATTGTTCTGTTACTGGATAGTGGAAAACTTGCTTGAAATGAAGTTTAAAGCTCTCTTTGACTTTATAATTTGTCAGTTCTGTAGATTGAATGCTGATCACACCTACTGATACAGTATCTGAACGAAGTACATGCAACTAGAGGTACTGGCAAAAAATACCTGAAGCCTCTGCTTTATTGCAGGGCAATTTAGCTTTTATATCCTGGTGTGAAGGCTTTCAAGACTGAAGTTGTGAATTTTCCAAGAGCTTGTGGTGAAGGTGGGGTGGGAGGGGTCCACTGACTGGATGCACAGAACCCTTTGTGCATAGCTCTAACCTGAAACACTGAATAAATTGTAGCTCTCTGAACACATTTTGCATATACAGCAGCAGTTCCGGAGTACGTGGGATTTAATAAAAGCAAGTCTCTTGATGGAGCAGTTGCGTTGGTTAGGTAAATCACTGGTCATGAGCTTTTTCACATTTTTTTTTCTTCTTGTGATCCAGTAGTGCTCACTATCAGTTTTGATCACTGCCTAAGGCCTCTGCAGTTTAGTCAGCAGACCGTAGTCTTAACCCCATCTTGAAAAGCACATGGTCTCTATTGCAGCACATGCCATTAACTGGTGAGTAGGCATTCTGTTTACAATGACATTTTATGAATGTCAGCTTGTACTTCAGTGAACTGAAGATACTCTCTCTGGCTAGGCTTATTGGAAATGACAGTGATGTAATCTAAGCTTTTACTGCACGAAAGGTGAGAAGTTTGCAAGCTATTTGCATTAACTTGGTTGAAAATTGCTAGAGCTCATTTGGAAAAGTTGTTAATTCACATCTGCACTAATGCTTACATTTCTAGCACTGCAGGGAGGATCTGTTCTTTGTAACAGATGTATGAGAATGCATCAAGTGGGAACATACCTCAAGGCATGTATTACAATAAACTAATTTTTAAATTACCCTTTTTTCCTTTCTATGTTCCCGGTACCTGTGGATCGGCTCAATGGTGATTGTATCGACGAACCTTGACTACGGAACCTTCTAAAAATATATACTTAACACACATGGACATCAACTACATATAATGAACTGTTAATTCTGTTCCAATAGCGTCCTGAACGCTTTGGGCAGGGAGGTGCGGGGCCTGTGGGTGGCCAGGGTCCTAGAGGAATGGGGCCTGGAACGCCAACAGGATATGGTAGAGGGAGAGAAGAATATGAAGGCCCAAACAAAAAGCCCCGATTTTAGATGTGACCTGTAGTTTCATTCCAGTTTGTTTTGTCTGTCTTGTTTAGACACCAACTTTTTAATTCTTGCATTTTAGTAAGAAAGCTACGTTTTTATGGATGTTAGAAACTTACTGACCTAATATTTGTAAGTGGTCTGTTTGGGCGAGTACAATTTAATTATGTAATGCAGTGTTTCAAAGCAAATTTAGCTGTTTTTTTGATGTATAACGTCCCTAACTTGATGGCAGTGTACCTTGTGCCACTGAATTCCCAAAGTGTACCAACTTTTTTTTACTGTGCTTCAAATAAATAGAAAACTAAATGTAGTAACTTTTCTTGCCATTCATGGTTAAATTAAGAGGCTAAATACCACACCTTCAGCAGTAAACCAAGAGTCTTGCCACAGAGGTCAAACCAGACCAGGGTGTGGAACTGTAGTGAAGAGCTGAGATCTCTTCCTGCAACGCCTCTAGCTTAAGATTGGGTCAAACAGTAGCTTAACTTTCTAGTAGGTGCAGATTTTTTAAGCATTAATTGTGCTGCAATAAGGAAGCAAATGGAAATCTTGCAGGTGCTGTAAGATAATGGTCATGAAAGCTACACTGCAAGTAATGCAGTATGCAATGAATTTCATATTATAGCTATGGATAATGGGTGGTGGGATGATAGCACTTACCACCTTGGCAGTTACTGCTTGGAATTTTTTAAAGTCTTTAAGCAGAAGACTTAGCAATGGTTATTTTAAAAATAAATCCATAGAAAGACTTGTATTGACTGACTTCCTATCTTACGGATTATTATTGAGTTATTTATATGCTCTTAAGCTGTTTGAGATTCCAGGATCTGGCCTTGCTCCGTATTGTATATCTGCCTGAAATTGCTTGGCAAAAAGACCAGAAGTGCTACTTGAGTGATGAGGGGAGAACCTGCTAATTCATACTTGTAACTTGCTTATGTCCTCATGCTAATTGAGTGGACTAATTTGCATAGTTCAGAATTCAATTGTATTATGGGGGCTGCAGCAATTAGTCTTTAAGTCTTGTAGCTGGTGGGTAAATCCTAAATGCCTGTATGTAAAATACAGAGAAACGAGCATTCTTGCACGATGGTTATTGCTATTATTGATGTGGGGAGGTAATGCATCAAAAGCAGTATCTAAATCTGGAGCTAACAGTTAATACTGCACAGTACAAATAAACTCCCTTCAAGGCTGTTTTGTAGGTCTGATGAATTCATTAGCTTGCTGATAACTTCGTTAAGCCCCAGAAGAATTTCAAAGCATTCTGGACTCATAAGGTAGCTGCTTTGCTTATTATGACACTGTACTAGATGAGCTGGGAACGTGACTTCCCAGCATAAAATGCCTTGGTGTTAATGCAGGATACATCAACCTGCTTGGCACAAAGTAGGTAAACTTTGGCTGTACCTTCACACCACTCCCCAACTCCCGAGCATTCTGTGAGTAGCTTTAATCTTACCAAGATCTTTCCACTCCTTGTGCGAAGCATTGGCTAATTCTAAATTCTATGCTAAATTTTCTCTGTGGTTAAAAGTTGTCAGACTGCAGTATTTTAGAGTGCGGATGATCGCTCTTGAAGTACTCACTGTAAGTGCTGTTACTCCTCAAATGAAAAAAAATATAGCAGGTTGTGAAATATTGATAACAGGTAACACTGACTTGGGAATATTCAGTGCACTAAATAGTGACTCAGCTGGTTTGGTGAATGCTTCTTATTTTCACAGAGAAGTGTGGAGGTTGATAACATGCTAAGACAATGAATTGCTATTCAGGAAATTCCGAATTGGCAGTTCCTAAACTGCAGACCAGGTATTTGGGAGTACTCGTATTGGATACTTAGCCTAAAAATCAGCAGTCCCACTGCAATTTGCTTTAAGTAGTCCTAAATAATGCTTATGTTTTCTGCAGGGTGTTCATGGGACACCCACAAGAAGTGAAGGTGTCTGAGATGGGGAATTCTGAACGTAAACATTTAAATTAATTTTTTCAGTTTATTTTTCAGATTACATGTCATTCTTTATTAAAGAGATGCCGGTGCATATCCTAAAGTATGTTCTCTTGTAGCTCTGTAACTTTGAAGAGTGAAGGATGCTGATGTCCTTGTACCTTACAGAGGTTCTCTCTTGGTACCCCTGTTTTGTATGTAAGCTCCTGTTGCTAGGTACTAAAAATCGATGAGTTGCAAAACCATGACCAGTAAATACATAGAAGAATCAGCAGTTTTCAAAACACCTGAAAGTTTGGTTAAATGTGGCTTCGTTGTAGCTGCATAAGCAGAATTCCTAAAACTCTAAAGTTCTGCTTTGAGTTGCATGTATTCAACAGGCATACAAGTAAATAGCCAACTGGATTTCAAGACCTTTTAAAGGTGGTGTCTTAAAAGCTGGCAAACAATTTAAGACTGATAAAGTTACTAAATGTGGGAGGTGAGACGGTTATGTTCCTTTGATCTGATCCTATGAGGTTTTGGACTTTTTTCATAAAATCAGATTGATGTAATTGAATCTTTAAAACAACTTAGAAAAGTGCTTGGTTGGTCAGACCTATTTTTGGATGGTCTGGCTCACAACACCTTTTTGTACTGGACTTGGAGGACATTGGCTGTTGCAATTTAGCTCGCTTTAACAAAATTGAGCCCATTTTGACATTTAGATATCTAAAAACTGCAGCATGTAGAAACTGGTATCGTTATCCATATCTTCACGCTTCCTCAGAAATGAATACAGAATAATCTTATCTTCTGGTGTAGACACATTACACTAATCATTTATACAGCTGACGAGAAACTGAAACTGCTTCTGAGATTTTGTGGTATTTTTGTGGTAGAAAAATTCTTGGCTTCTCCTTGGCAACCATTTGCTGTGGCAGCAAGTTTTTGCTGGAGTTTTTGAGACTGCAATTTACACTTAAAACTAGTGGCCTGCTACATAACTGCACTTAGCCAGCATTTCTGCAGTTCATAACTGTGAGGAACGTAGTACCACAAATGGCAATGGACATTAGGACCCGGATGTAGTATTCCTGCTTGCTCCAAGATTCTCATTGCCGACTGCGTACAGGTAGGTAACAAGCAATATAATATAACTTGGTGACTTTCTATGTAATCTTATACTGTGGGTATTCTGACATCACACTTCTGACTGTGGAATTACAGTGCAGCACTCCTCATACCTGTATGCTAAACTTGCATCAAAGCTGCGTGGTTTTCGGTTTTAAGCTTTGTCTTGTTCAGAGTCAATAAGCAACTTACTGTGATTCTTAGATAAGTATTTCCAGACCCGATTCCTTTGTACATACAACTCGGCTTGTGTGAATTTTTCTCAGCTACGATGTAACGAAGATGTTCTTAGACGAGCTCTGTGGGGAAGAGGGGATGTGACCTTACACTCAGTTAACTAGTCAACTAGGTGCTATCAGTGCCTAGAAAAGCATCGTTTACACTTCCTGTAGTGACCAAGTGGCCCATCTGCAGTGCATCCCTTTGTAGAGTCTTGGCTCGGTAGGAAATGTGTTAGTAATCACTGCTCTAGCCCTCTGTGAACTGATAGTCAAAGCTCACTAATACAGCCAGCTTTAAGACTGATTGGGAATATTTCTCAGGACATACAAATGAGTGCTTGAATGAATATCCCTGTAAAAGTTCGGTAGAGCTTATTGGAAATTTCAGTTGTCTTTATTTTAATTAATCCTTGATTGACAAGCATATCACATTTCTCTGCCTTTAATTGCTAGTGGTGAGATTCTGTATTTCTGCCTCTTAGTCATCTTGGTAGTGTAACGCTCAATTTCATTTTTCATCAGTCTCGAGGATGTAATTCTAAACTCTTCATTGCTAAAAATGCTGAATGTAGTGTTTCAGGATAAACATGCTTACGTTTCCAGACATCCAGACACGCTGATCTCCAGCTCTTTTGCATTAGTTCTTGAACCTGAATTTCAAGGTCCCTCGTTTCAGCACATGATCCAGCCTCTTGTCTGATCAGTTTATTTCAGAGGTGTTGTAATGTGTTTTCCCCTTTGTTCTGCAAAGCTCTACTTTGCAATCATTGTTTCTGGTATTTTGGACCATTCTGTGTTACCTTCCAAAAAATACTCTTGCTGGTGAACAGGTGATCTGCTGGCCAGCCTTGCCCTCTGTCTGCTGTAGTTAGCTTTTCAGTGTTCCATTGAAAGCAGCTGCACCTTAAACTTAAGATCATAATACCAGGTCTTTGGTTACACCACAGTGAGTGTAGCTGAACACTAGCTAGTCAAGCAGTGGCACCACTTGTCACATCCAGTTCGGCTTTTTGGTGATGGCTTACTCTTAATCTGCGACTAGAATTTAGTAGCAAAACTGCTGACAGTACGCATCGCATGCTGTCGTGTAGCAAACCTGAACTGCTAATCCTGAAACCAGTGCTCAGCTCTAACTTAGTATGTCCAGTGTGCTCTGGATACTTGACTTGACCTGTAGGAATGTCGTGGAGGGGTTATTGGCACATCTGCTTTGTTCTACATACTTAAACTAGTAGGATTTTGACACTCTTGGAGCAAGCAATCTGTGACTGAACCATGGGTCTCATACTAGCTCTGACTGTCTGCAGTAATGAAACTTGGTGTGGTAGATAACTTAAAAGCCAGTCTGTAACAAGTGGGTACCAAGAAATGACATTAAAGTGCTTGCATTGTGTTTCATCTTGAATTTCTACCTGTGTGTGAAATACACTTTTTCTCAAAAAAAAAAAAAAAAAGCTTATATAAAGCTTATCTGAAGCTCAGAAGTGTGGTGTCAGAATACATATGCGTACCTGTTAGGCCCTCAGATCCAGAATCTGGTGCTGTCAGGAGAGAGCACAGCATAGCGTGTATGGGGGCTTTACTGTAACATTAAGCATACAAAGTGTTGATTTGCTTGCAGTTTTCCCCATAGCTAAACACTGAGGCCTGTGAGTAGTTCTAGGACTTCAGCAGTAATGGGGTTGCATGTCTCTGTTAATCATTGCCAGCTGCAGTGACATGATCAGGAAGGCCAGCGTTTTGTTCCATTCTCTTAAATAAGGCTAAGCATGTTGGAAAGGATGCATAAAAAGTTATGCTGTTCTGGGTAAATACTTGGCTTCTTCCACTACTAGCAAGTTTGGAATCTGCTAATTAGCTTCAGATTTTTCTCTCCATGCCAGCTAGTGGGGCTCTTAAATAGCTGCTTACTGGAAAAGGAAAAAATAAAACGGGAGGATTGGCCTTCTCCCACTTCTGTCATTGCTGCTAGATAATGATTGACATGTTAGGACTTGGCTGTGCAATCCCGCAGTGGTCTGTGAATACCCCATCTCTATAAATGTTGCTTTTGAACACCAGTACTGAAGAGCTAACTGGGGAGGGTTGGGAGGAGTGTGCCTCTAAGTGAATCTGGAGTGTTAAAAGGATGCACAAAGATATAGTATCCCTTATGCATGGTGTTTGTTGCTATGGCATAGAAAACAAAATGTGCATACTATACTTCTGCTCCTGAGGGCCATGATAAAACCCAGGTGGTGGGTTTGAGACTAAACTTGAACTTGTCCCTACCTGGTCAAATCACATTGTGACCGTAGTGTGATTTGCCTCCCAACAAGAGGTGTGCACAGAACGTTGTACTACTACATCCCCTAGTTGCTAACTATTGCAGCTTGCCCTCACCTTAGCTACAGTAAAAGGGTGGGTCTTTAGAAGGGAAGAATCTCTTGCTTAGAATAAAAGCAGTCTGACGATGCTAATCAATAGTGTCTTCCTTTGGCTTTTGAAGCACTCCTAGGACTATTGAACCGAGGGCTACTAGGAATTAGGGACACTGCACTCCTTCACGAAGCAGAAGGAAGAGGGCATTGTACAGGAATCAAACTAGGTTAAAATAGTTGAAGTAGCTTGATAAAATTAATGCCTTCACATAAGGGATAGTATACCTCTGGCTGCAATCAAACTTCATTGTACTCAGACTGGTGATTTACGGTTTGTGCTCAGACAAGGTGCAGTTCTTCAGGCAACTACATGCATATTCCTTCACCTCTTTACAAATGTTTAGGCTAGCCTGTTTCTGCCCCTTATTCTTCCACTTAATATTTTGGAATAATTTGTAAATTCCCCCTCATAACTAATCAGTCCACATATCTTAAAACTTTGCTTTTAAGTTAGTTTTGAAATGGCCATAACTTGCTGTGTATTATAATAATAACTTCAATTGTTATCCTTTAGGTGAAGATGCAAGCTGAGTGAAACTGGAGTGCTCATCCATTGGAAGTAAGCATGACTTTGTCTTGTTCTGTGGGGGTGAAATAAAAAAGGCCTCTGGACACCTGATGTTCAGTGACGAAGTAACTTTGAATTAGTGAATGTGTGAAATATATAAGGTAGAACTTAGTACCCTGCTCTCAAGCTGTGGGGTTTAGTATCTGGGCTTGATATCTTGAGAGCAGTGGTTAAAACCACCTTCCTAGATGGGGGTTTGTTCTGAAGGTTTAAAAATCATTGTCAATAAAACTTGTAAATATTTTTCTAGTTCAGGAGCTGAGCATGAGCACATCCAGCACGATGTCCAGTGATATGTGAATGGACCGAGAAAACAAGTGAACAAGTAAGTAGATGCTGTCCTTAGGCTACTGCTCTGGTAGAGCAGTGCATCACTGTGATGTCAAGGTAGTTCCTGCCTGGAATTTGCCTCTGATTTTAATCTCAATTTTACGTGAAAATGATAAATCTTTCTTTTGTAGAGCCAAGATCTAACCATTGTTTGAGGCTTTTCAGCCCTGCAGCATCAAATAAACTGTCATCTGAACACTGTAGGTGGTCAAACAAGAAATAAGCGTTTTTAAGTCAAGGTTCAAGTGGAAGGGGTATGAATAGGATGGAGTGATGTTGTCAGCAAGGAAAACAGGAATAAAGCAGCTACTTATCTGTTAATCTAGCTAAAAGTTGTTAAAAGTGTTACTTATCTGAAATAGTGAGCATTGAACTTTCAAAATTACCTGCAAGATAAGTTAGTGCGTACAAGAACGTAAGCCAGTAGTGGTTTAGGGAAATAAACTAATCTGCACAGCTGGAATTAATGAAATTTTCCCTCTAATTTGTTACTTAAACTACAAGGGGGAGCTTCAGATATTTTAAATCTTGTGTGAGGAGCAGCATGCAAAAGTACCTTAACACATGAGTGAGGGGTAAGTAATGCTTAGCCATGCCACAGCTGAACCTGTAAGACGTGAAACCAGTGAGATTCAATTGGTGAACTCCTATTGAATCCTGTGTGATTTGTCACCACTGCCCTTGTTTCTGGGGTAGTAAAACAAAGCCACTTGATCTTTAGAGGTAGATGAAAACATGAATGCTATTTGTTTTATCTCCAGTCTGATGTAAGATCTTATGATCATAAAGAGTATTTGATAGGTGCATGACCTTTGTGATAACTGATTCCCTTTCCATGTCATTGTGTGTGGTTTCTGGTGGAATTTTAAAGTTCTTGCTAACTATGTGTTTTTTACTTGCAGAAGAAGTCCAAATGCAGTGAAGAGGAGCCAGGAACATGCCAGTTTTTTACGAATAAAATATTTAATTTTTCTTAATGACTTCTGTTTTATTCTGGAGTGTGTTCAGTAAGTTTTTGAGCATAATACAGTATGGTTGCATCCAAGAAACACTGCCACAAATGAGGGAGGCTGTAGAACTAGGTGATGCAGAGTGTGCTTGGAGCAGTGGAGTGAGGATGGATTTGGGTCATTGAATCCTGCTCTAAAAACTAAAAGGAAACAACCACACTTAAATACATAATACAATTTTTTTTTTCTGCTGGGAATATGCTGTGGGCTTATTGTAGTTGGACTTCTCCAGTTTGGGGGTCAGATGTATTCCTGAGCAGTGTGTAGCCATGTATACTTTTGCTAAAAATGACTTAAAACCATTTTTTTTATAAACTACTCTTACCCCTAAAGCACTGTAGGAGGTTTTGGAAGTTTCACCCACTCTATCCCCCATCTCCAGAGTTCTGTGTAGTGCTTTTTGCGTTAGATTTCTGAGTGTTTACACATGCTTGATTGGTTTGTAGTAGTTTACTTAGTGACTAGTAATTAAGCCTGAGATGCCAGTGTTGGAATTCCTTGCAAGGCAGAGAAGTGCTGTTTTTAGCACTTGAAGCGCAGATTTCCATGGTTCAAATTGCTTTACTCGAACAAGACAGCTGTAAAGCCACTCTGTGCACATGCATAATTCCTGCTGTCATTTATTAAATGTAATCCTTTGTTTAAATATCAAGTAGTTTTTGCTAATGTGTTTAAAATAGGCCAACAGTAGGCTTTGATGTAATGCAACTGTATTACCAGAGTTACCCCCTACAGCACACGAAGTCACAAACATTTGGCTAGGAACTGTTGCGAGACTACCATGATCAAAATTAACTGTATTAAATGTGGCAAGGGTGCAGCGCTTGAGCTGTGTCTGCCTGGGAACAAGTTCACCTGTGCTTCAGCTGCCAGTCCAAAATATATTCTGGTTTGTCTTAAATACAGCTTGCTTGCATCCTACTGAGGAGGTTTCATTAATTAATGATGTCGGTCTGAGCTACTGCATCATTTCTGACTCAGAATATTGCTTTGTAGCAGTGTGTAGATGAGTAGCCCTGGTGCCCACCTCTTATCAGGCATTCAGAATTGGTTAGATGAGAGTGGCTGCTGCTGGACTGCCAGCCCTGTGGCTCCTTGCCAGTCACGAGTGTGTCTCTGAGCATGGTTAGAGGGAAACAAATGGAGCTGCAGGCAGCTGCAAGCTGCTGTGAGTGGGTGAGCAGCAGCAGGGGGTGCCTTGGTATTTCACTGCGCCTGAGTTCTACAGCACAGAAGGATGATGCTGCGTTAAAAGCTTTTATCTGCTGGTTTTCCCCTTTTCATGCAATCAGGTACAGGATAGTCTGAGAGAATTCATTCATTGATTTGACATCTTTATGCTATTGTCCAGATTTTGAAGAGGTTCTGTGGTTCCTCAGCCATGCTGCAGGTGCGATGGGAAAGGTGCTTGTTAACAAGCTGACGGGCTCAATCTTAATTAGGTTCTGCTGCAGGATTCATTAAGTACTGCACACAGTTCAGAAATTAAGTTATTCACCTGTTAATTCAGACCTTGGTTGTAACCGAGGAGGAGCCTTGAGGGCAGGAATTGAAGAGCTGTGTGGTCAGTTACCTGCAGAAATGACGCGCTGGGGTGTGTGCAGCGCTGGAGCTGCCGCAGAGGCTGAGCAGCCCTCTTGACCTCGTGCTGGGAAGGACCAAGCACTGCAATGCTTTTGGGAACGCTGCTTTGAGGAAGGAATCACAGGACTTGAAAAAGCAGGAGCCCCCCTGCCTTCTGTGCCTTTGGGAGGTGTCTCGCTGGTGAGCGAAGTGCTGCCTCAAAGCAGTGGAGGCCCGTGGTGGCAGGAACGTGGGTGGGTTTCACTGTCTTGTCTCCACAGCTACTGCAGCCTTTTTTTTTTTTTTTCCCTCAAATTCTGTTATTTTCCAGTAACTTGTCCTGATTTAGTTTCCCCTGTTGCAGCAGCTCCTTACGTGAAACTTTCAACCTAAAAGTGGTACCCGCACTCTAAATGAACTTCACCTCCTACAACTCCTTTTATAAGCAAACCGTGTTCTGCTTTTTGTATTGAAATTGCGCATGTTTTGGAGAAATGCAGAAAGCCCTTGCTTTTTTCATCAGTGTGTAGGCCATCGTGTCATCACCTGATAGATGACTAGCACAGAGCATTTTTTTTTTCCTTAACATCTGGGCAGCCTGCCAGCAGGTTATTGTTTGCTGGCTGTTAAAGCTGATTACCTGGTTCTGCTGCGTGTTTCATTAGTCTAAGTAGCTCCCCTAATAAACATCAGAGGCTGAGAGCCGGGATGGATGGTGGTGGAGCCCTGTCACAGCCACTGTATTTATTTCAGCCCCAGACACCTCGGAGAGGCACCAGGGCTGCGATTCCTGGGGATACAAAGGGGGGGAATAAAGCTGGGGGTGTGTGAGCACCCCAGGGGCCAGCTGTAAGGCTGCTTTAGAGCTGGGGTGGACAGAAAGCGTGGAATAATCCTGCTGAATTTATGAAACAAATGGGTGAACCTGTGGCAGATCGCTATAGTCCATCCTTACATGGGTGGGGGGACAGCTTCTGCCACCCAGGAGGACGTTTTATTATTTAAGGCCTGACAACTGATGAATGACTCATAGGAGGAGCTTGGGCTCATAAATCTAAAGATAGCAGGGTCCCAGCTGGGGCTGGAGGCTTTGGGGAAAGAGGGAACTCTATTTTGTCTGCAGATGTTTTTCCCGTTGGGGTAGGATTGCAGCGAGGCAGGGCGAGTTATTTATTCCTCCTGCACGGAGATAGCTGGGTGAGAGCGGCAGCCGGCTCTGAGTCACTGCTGTGACGTGCAGCAGAGGGCTCCTGGGGCTGTTAATGGTCTGTGAGCCAGGCCTGGCTCTTCCAGCACCCTTGGGTGTCGGATGGGTGGCCCTGGGGGTGAGGATGGGTGCCCTGGGGACACCGACTGCTCCAGGCCTGGCTCCTCCAGCACTGCTGGCTGTAGGACGGGTGTCACCACATGCAGGGGCTGTGTCCCTAAGGACACCACAGCCGTGGTGCCACCCTGCCCCGTCCCATGGGTGCTGTGACCCCCCCCCCAGAGCCAGACCATGGCATGGGTGCCCCGTGCTCGGTGCTGGCTGCCTGGGAAAGGCAAACGTATCGGGTCCAGGAGGGGAAGCAAACAGATGATGCAACGGTGCTGCCCTTTTGCACAAAAACCACAGCCAGTGTCTGAGCGGGCTCTGCTCTGCCTCGGGGGGCGGGGGAGACCTTGCTATGGCAGGAAAAGAGCAAATTTTCCCGAAGGTAACAGAAAATGGGTTCTTCGGGAGGTGCCTCGCTGTGCTGCTCTCCCCCCCTGCACGCTAACAATGGGCCTGCAGAAACGCTGAGCGCTTCGTGCAGCAATGAGACAACCCCGCACGCCACATGCCGTGGCCCTCAGCGCCTCCATCCATTATTCAGTCAGGGCCTGGGCTCTTCTATTTTTCTCTTTTTTTTCCCCCAAGAGGCTCTCCTAGACAATAGGGCTGCCCGCTCATGCTCCCACAGCTCCACACCGACATCTGCTGCGCCCCAAGGGAGCTGAGTGAGAGCGTGGGGTCAGGGCAGGCGATGCCCCCCCGCCATCCCTCTCCTTCCCCACATCAGCTTTTAACACTTTTGGCTTTCGGGCTTTGAAAATTAAACAATTTGTGGTTTACCACAGCGGCACCACGCAGCAGCGTGGCCCCGGGGTATGAGGGAGGCTCTGCTGAGGAGGAGGAGGTGGAAGGGGGGGGGGAGCAAACCGTGCCCCCCAGCAACCCCCAGCCTCGCTCCGAGCCCCCCTCGCTCCCCCCAACCCTTCTCCGGGTCCTGTGTGGAGCCGAGCCCCGGGTTCGAGGCCGTGAGGCGGCTCCCGGGGCCGGGCAGGGCCGAGCCGAGCCGCGCCGCCCCCATGGCCGTCCCCGCCCCGTAGCCGCCATGGCGGCGGTGTTCGCCGCCCTGCGAGTCCTCCTCGGGCTCTTCTTCCTCCTGGCCGGCGCCGTGAAGCTCACGGACCGGCTCTCGGCCGACGTGCACCGGCACATGGTGAGGGGGAGCCGGGGGCTGGGGGCTTCGGAGGCGTAGGGAGGGGTTTGGGACTCGAGGGGGGCTTAGGAGACATAGGGGGGGCGCTTCGGGGCTTCTGGGGCTGAGGGGGGCTTTGGAGCCTGAGGGGGGCTTCGTGGGCGGCCTGAGGGGGGCTTTGGGGTTTGAGGGGGGTGTTTGGAGTCTTAGGAGGGTGTTTGGAGTCCTAGGGGGGGCTTTGGAGGCTGTGGGGGGTTTTGGAGATGGTGGGGGGCTTCAGAGCCCTAGAGGGGCTTCAGAGTCTGAGGGTGGTTTTGGAGGGTTTTGGAGCCATAGTGGGGACTTCAGAGCCATAAGGGGGGCTTTGAAGCCTGAGGGGGACTTCATGGGTGGCCTGAGGGGGGATTTTGGGGCTCAAAGGGGGCTTCAGAGTCCTAGGGGGGACTTCAGAGACTGTGGGGAGCTTCAGAATCTGAGGGGGGCTTCAGAGACTATGGGGGGCTTTGGAGCTATAAGGGGGGCTTTGGAGCCTGAGGGGGGGCTTCGGAGCTGGAGCTGGGCCCCTCTGGCTGTCCCCAGCAGGCGCAGTTCGTCCGCTTCGCCGAGGTCTTTCCCCTCAAGGACTTTGGCTTCGCCCCCGATCCTGACCCGTACCTGGCGGCCTGTCGGCTGGGTGGAGGCGGTGGCCGGGCTGCTGCTGGCCGTGGGCCCCCAGCTGCTGCAGGAGATCAGCAACTTCGTGCTCAGCATCGTCATGATGGGTGAGAGACGGCGGGGCGGGGGGCTCGTGGCCCCCGGTACCCCCCTTGACATCTCCTGCCTCTTCCAGGTGCCATCTACACGCTGCTGGTGCTGCGCGAGCCCCTGGCCATGTGCGCCCCCGCCACGCTCTGCCTCGGCCTCCTGCTGCTGCTCAACATCCGCGGCTACGGAGCACCCTGCCAAGCCCAAATTTGAGTGACTGGAGGATGGAAGGACGGATGGACAGACAGATGGAGGGAGGCCAGACCCCTGGGGTGTTTTGGGGGGCTGCGAGGTAACGTGACGCTGCTGGGTGGTGCAGCTGCAGGATGGAGGCTGTGGCACCGCTGCTGCTCCGGTGCTCAACCAGCACGAGGTGGTCGGGTCCTGCCATGCCGGGCTGGCGCTGGCTCTCGTGGGGGCTTTCATATTTTGGAATAAAGCCTCTGTTTTTTCACGTTTTGCCTCCGCTGGTTGTTTCTGCCTCCCCCGGTGCTGAGCTGCAGGGGACGTCGTGAGGCTGGGAGGTTCCTGAGTCCTGGGAGGGGAGGCTGGTGGGGTGCTGGGGCAGCAAATACGGGAAATATGTGGGCAGCACATTGGGGTGGACAGCCAGCAATGGGAGCCTGTGTGGGGCAGGAGCCCTGTGGCTGTCTGGAGCCACCCTGCAACGTGCCAGGCCACCCAGCGGGGTGGCAGCAGCCCCACAGTGCCCCAACCCATGTGCCTGGATGGGCTCAGGCAGGTGCTTTCTGGGGGTCTTGCTCCACTGGGGCAGGGTCTGTAGGGACCCATCTGTTCTCCAGGACAGATCGAAGTCCCCTGGGGATGGGCACTGCACTGGTGGCAGCTTGGCTGAAGCCCAGGATCACATCTGAACCTTGTGCATCTTCCAGCTGAAGCAACTGGGACAGATTTGGGGTGGGACGAGGCTCTCAGAGAGGTGCAGCACCCCACAGTGCCACCACCGGGACCTGAGCCACCAACCAAGGGGACAGGCTCCCTGTCCCAAGGCAGCAGGGAGGGGGGAGCGTCCCCTTTGCAGGACTGGGGGGGGGGGCTGGGGGCTCTGCTCCCACTGAATCCCCCTTTGAAGCAAACAAAAGCCCGAGGAGGCAGATTCCTGCTTTGATCCCTTTCGGCTTGCCCCCCTTTCTCCCAGCTGCTGAGTGCAGAAACTTGACCTCTGCTGCTTTCATGCGGGGCCTGGGAAATGGCCCTGGAAGGGGATGGGGGCACTGGGGAGGGGGGGCACAGCAACCACCACCCCCGTGCCCCCGGCCAGCGCTGGTGGCGGGGGTCTTAGCGTGGCTCCAGTGTGGCCGCCCCCATTACAAACACACGCAGGTGCCTCCCTGCTCCAGTTGCCCCCCCGCATGCTCTCACCCCCACAATGGCTTGGGGAGGGGGGGCTGGAATCAGGCGTCCCCTGCCTCCCCCAGCCCTCCCCGAGCATTTAAAGCTTCCAGCAGCTCGGCCAGGCAGCGAGGAGCAGCTGGAGGGGACGTGGGGTAAGCGAGCTCCTCGATGCATCCTCAGTATGGTGGGAGGGAGCTGGGGGTGACCCCCTGGTTATGGGGTGCAGCGTGGGTGGGTGCATCCCTGTGCCAATTCCTCCAAAAAGGAAAGGGAAGAGGGGAGCCTTGAGGGAGCCGGGGGGGGTTTAGGGGTCTGCGAAATAATTCAAGCCCCCTGGGGATGAGCCCACCTGCTCAGCAGCCGGAGTTCTCCGTGCCTTGGTGTGGGGTTGGGTGCTTCGTGCACCGGATCTGGCCCTGCTGCGCTGGAAGACGCCCGCGGGGTGACTCAGAGCCGTCGGCAAGGTGTGGGCAGGCTGCGAGGTGAGATTGCTGCAGCCCTGGGATATGGGAATCGCACCAGAGAGAGGTTTTTCCACGTCCAGGGTTTGGGGAACAAGGGGGTGCCTGCCCCGTGCTGGTGCCCCCCTCCCTATCCCCGTCACCTCTACGCCCCGATGCGCCCTGAGCCGCTGGGGGACTTTCCCATGGGGGATTTTGGGGCTCTGGGAGCGAGAAGAAGCAGAAGATGGAGCAACAGCAGCAGGGGCTGGAGGGGTTCGATGCAGCCCCCGGCGAGCTCAGGGCTGCGAGGGCGGCGTCAGGCGGCGTTAAGCCCCGCAGCTGCGAGCTGGAGCCAGCTCAGCACCTCCGGGTGCCGCCGTCTGCGCCTCTGCCCCTGGGCCGTGGCGCAGCTGTGCCTGCCGGTCCCCGGGGAGCGCCGGGCTGGCGGAGCCCCTGGCTGCCTGGCGGCGTGGGGGCGTGCGGCTGGGGGGGCTGGGATGGCTCCCAGAGCCCGTCAGCTCCCTCGGGGTGAGGAAGAGCGCAGCCTTTTTGCTAGCAACCCCACGGGGCAGCTCGTGTCCGGTGCTGTGCAGTCGTAGGCGCCAAGCTGGGGTTGTTCCACCCGGTTCAACACCCCCACCACGTGCCTGTAGGTCCCTGATTGTCCTCTGCTCTTTGCAGGAGCCCGGGATGAACGGCTCGGCACCGGGGCTGCTGCCGGCGGAGCTCCCCGGCGCGTGCGTGCCCCAGCGACCCGGTGCAGTTTCGTGCTGGTGCCGGCCTGTCTACTGCCTGGTGCTGTGCGTGGGGCTGCCGGGCAACCTGGTGGCCTTGCTGGTGTTCCTGCAGAGCTGGCAAGGTGAGGAAGGCCATCCGCATCTACCTCATCAACCTCACGCTGGCCGACATCCTCTTCAACCTCACCCTGCCCCTCTGGATCCCCTATTACCTGGCCGGGGGCAACTGGCTGCTCTCCGAGGCCGCTTGCCGCTTGGCCGGGGCCACCTACTACGTGGCCACCTACAGTGCCGTCACCTTCATGGCTCTCATCAGCTTCAACCGCTACTGCGCCGTGCGGGCGGCGAGGCCGGCGCTGCCTCTGACCGGGCGCCGCGGCGCCGCGCTGGCCTGCGCCCTGGCGTGGCTACTGGGGCTGGGCTGCGCCGTGCCCACCCTGGCCGCCCGGCAAACCTTCCCGGCCCGCGCCGGGGCCACCACCTGCTTCGAGCAGCACGCGCGGCACCGAGCCTACGCCTACGCCATGGTGGGTTTCTTCGCCGCCGCCTTCCTGGTGGTGCTGGGCACCTACGCCTCCGTCGCCCGCTCGCTCTCGGTGCCCGCCAGTCACCGCCGCCTCGCCGGGCTCGCACCGGCAGCAGGCGCGCGCCATGGTGCTGGGGATGCTGCTGGTGTTCGTGGTGTGCGTGGCTCCCTACCACCTGACGCTGGCCCCCTGGGTGGACAGCCGGCCCCCCGTGCCTCCCTGCGGGCCCCCGGCTGTCTTGGATGTGCTGCACGCGCTGAGCGTGGCCCTGCTCAGCCTCAACAGCTGCCTCGACCCCCTCGTCTACTGCTTCTGCATCCGCCGCTTCAGGGCTGACCTGGGCCGGACCCTGCGCAAAGCCGCCCGGTGCCTCCCGCTCCCCCCTCAAGCCCCCGATGCGCCCGTGCCCAGCGTCCGTGCGTCCTCCTTCACCTCCTCGTAGCGGCTGGGGGTTCCTGGTATCCTGCCCCCTCCCGGTGCCGCGGTCCCAAAGGGTTGGGGTCCCCAGCAGGGCGATGGGCGCAGCTCCTGAAGCAGGGAGCGATGAGGGGGGAGCAGTTGCCTTGCACGCCCCCACTCCATCCACCCCCACTCTGCTCCTGGCGCATCCCCACGCGCTCACAGCCCACAGTTTCCACCCTCGCACGGATCCTGCACCCAGCGCTCGCACGCGCCAGGAGGGCGCCTTCCCCGGCGAGGGTGGGGAGAGGGTGGGACAGGACAGAGGGTGGCGTGCGGGGTCCTGTCCCCTCCTGGGGGGCTCCATCCCGCGGGGATATGCGTAAAGACACCGACGCCTTGAGCTGGGCTGCCTTGGGAGGGGTGACTTTTTGGGGCCCCATCCCTCGGTGTTCCCATCCTCACGCCTGCATCCTGCCAGGATTAAAAATGAACGAGCCAACGGCTGCCGAGTCTCCTTGCCGGCGAGGCGCCGCGCTGCACGCCGAGCAGCACCGGCCGCTCCTTCAGACTGGGACAGAACCAGGCACCGGGAGACCCCCCCGGCACCCCCATCCCCATGCACCCAGCTCCTGCCCCAGGGGGGACCCAGCAGCCCCCGATCCCCCACCCCTGCTGCGTGCAGGCCTCCCGGGGTGCCGGTGCCTTGCTCATGGGCAGCGCAGCCCCCAGCCCCGCTCACGCCACCGCTGCCTCCCCGGAGAGCCCTCGCGCTCAGCGGGGGCGGCGGAGCCGGCGCAGGGCCGTGGGCGTCTGCAGGGGCGGAAGATGGTGTTTTCCCAGCCCTGTCTCGTTCCTGCTGCTGCCTCAGCTCTGCCTCCCCAGCACGGTGCGAAGGTGAGCGGTGGGCGCTGCGCAGCCGGGTGGGATTCAGGGTGGTGCAGGGCAGGGGGTGCTGGTGGGGATGGGGGGGACGCGGGGGCTTCAGGTGCCCCCCTCTTGGGGGTGTCACCCCCCAGCACAGCGCTCTCAGTGCTTTGGAAGGAACGAAGAGGCATCAGGCAGGGGGAAAAGGGGCTTTGGGGGGGGGTCCTGCTGGCACCGCACAGCCTCAGACCCCCCCACAACGCCCCCAGCACCCCAAATCCTGTGTTCCAGTTGCTGTGTTCTTCATGGAGCTGTGCCCACTGGATGGATGCACCCCTCTGGGTGTGCTCCCCCCTGGGCAGAGCTGCTGCACCCCAACCAGGTGGGCACCCAGGTGGGGGCCCTGCCCCATGGGTGCTGCCGGGTGATGGCTGCGCTTGGGGGTCACGGCTCAGCGGTGATTTATTCAGGGCTGCAGGGGTAGCAAAGCTGGGGGAGTGGGGTCTCTGCGTGCCACAGGGAAATATGAACAATCTCGAGGCTGGAAGACCCACACACGGATATTCTCAGGGTGCTGGGGTGCCCCCAGCACCTGGGTGCTCAGCTCTGCTTCGGCACAGCCAAACCCCGTGGCCAGGCTGGATGGAGCAGCTCTCCACGTGCCGCGGTGCCCTGTCCTCAGCAGAGCCGTGCTGGTGCTCCACGCCGAGCCCACCCCGTTGTTCTCCTTGTGGAGTAGGGGCTGTCCCAGCCACGCTCGACTCCCCCCGTTCTTCTCCTTTTGGAGCACGCATTAAATATTAATCCTTTTATGTAACTTCTCAGGGAGGTGGGCAGAGCTCTGCTGCTCCCCGCGTGCACGCAGGAGCTCCCGTGCCAGGTGGAAGCGCCGCGGGGCTGGACGAGGGCTGGGGCTCACCCACACGGGGTGCAATGGGATTACCGGGGGGGTGTCCTTGAGTCCCAGGAGCTGGGGAGCCCCAGTTTGGGCTCTGGTGACCCCCAAGGGTTTGCTCAGCGGGGTGGAACAGCGATGGGGACCACGGGGCTGCGGAGCTGCTGTGCCCACCTGCCTGGTGACACGGCCGTCTTGGGACACAGGCCACGGCCACGGCTGCTTCAAACCGAGCTTCAGGAGCTCCCCCAGGCCGTGTTCTTGCCCTGGCACAGCGGGTGGCTTCGGGGAGGGCACGATGCCAGGGCTGGGCACGTGCCGCCGTGGTGCCGCTGCCGCCACCGCGCGCAGCGAGGCGTTAACCGGCTCATTGTTCCGCTGCACTTGTAACCCGCACGCGCCTTAATTATTATTATTAGCAAATTACACCACCCCGTGCGAGGGGCTCTGCGGGCGGGCGGCTGCTGACGGCCCCGTGGCTGCCCCGGGGGGAGGCTGAGCCCCTCGTGGGCAGCCCCAAGACCCCGGAGCGAGACCCGGGCAGGCAAGCGGGGTCCCAGGGGAGGTGTTGGGGGCGGGATGCCCATGGTCTGGGGGGGATGCCTACAGTCTGGGGGCTTATCTACAGGCTGGGGGAATGCTCACGGGCTGGGGGGATGCCCATGGGATGGAGGAGATGCCCATGGGATGGAGGAGATGCCCATGGGATGAAAGGATGCCTATGGACTGGGGGATGCCCATGGGTTGGGGGGGATGCTCATGGCCTGGGGGGGATGCTCATGGCCTGGGGGGATGCCAAAGGGCTGGGGGGGTGCCAAGGGGCTGGGGAGGATGTCAAGAGGCTGGGGGAGATCTCAGGGGGCTGGGGAGATGCCCATGAGCTGTGGGGATGTACAGGGGCTGGGGGGGTGCCCATGGGCTGGGGAGGATGCCCAGGGTCTGGGGGGGATGCCCATGGGCTGGGGGCAATGATTACGGTCTGGGGGGGGTGCCCAAGGTCTGGGGGGGATGTTCACAGCCCCGGGGGGATGCCCAGGCTCCGGGGGGGATGCCCACGATCTGAGGGATACCCCTCGGCCGGCATCCCCCCCCCACCCCGGTCCCCACGCGTGGCACCGCGGCTTCCCCCGGCTCCTCCACCTCCTCCCCCCGGCCTCGCCGAGCCCCGGCGGGGGGGGAGCTTTGTGAGGGGGGGTCTCGGGGCGCCGGGAGGCGGCGGCAGAGCCGCACCGGAGCCATTTTGCGCCGCCGCCGCCTCCCCGCTCTGCCTCCCGGGGAAAATCCATCGCCGCGTCTTGTGGCTGCGCCGCTCGGCGCTGCACTGCGGGGCCGCCGCCACTCGCATGCTGCCGCCCGCCGCGCTCCCACGCGTGGGGCACCGGCCCGGGCCGAGCCGTGCCCAACCGTGCCCGAAAAAACTGCGGGGGGGCCGCCGGGGAAGCCGCCGGGCACCGGCCCCGGCCCCGCTCCCGGTCCCGGCCGGAGGATGTAGGCACCGGGTAAGAGCCGCGGGCGCGGCGCACGGCGGGGGGCAGCGGGCACCGGGGGGAGAGGATGATGGATGCTCGGGGATGGTGCTGGGTTTTTGGGGTATGGGCACCAGGGGATGCTCCTCACGGTCCTCCCGTGCCTCTCCCGGGGAAGCCGCGGTCTTCTGCCGCCCCCGCCGGGCGCTCCGTGCCCTCCCTGCCGCTCCCCGGGGCTGCTCCACGCGGGATGGTGCCACGCGAGGTGCCCGGCCCCGCAGGGTCTCCTCTCGGCCCCACCGAGCTGGAGGGGAGCTATGGGGTGCGGGGGGGGGCTGGGGGCATTTACTGGCCCCGTGGGGAGGGCGGGGGGCACCCGGCATCTCCCACCGCCCGGTGCCCCCCAGGCAGGGTAGGATTTGGAAGCACCTCAGTGGGGTGACGCCGGCCATCCCGCTGCTCGCCCCGCTGCAGAGGGCTTGGGGATGGGTTTGGAAGGCCCAGGCCCCCCCCCTCAGCCCCTTGGTCTCCTTTCTCAGCACCCCCTGGAGCTGTGGGGTGGGAGGGAAGTGGTGTGGGGTGATGGAGCCAGGTCCCAGCCGGGTGGGTGCCATGGGGCACGAGCCACCCCGTGGCTCTCACTGCGCTCCCAGGCTTCGTGGTGCAAGCCGGTCCCGCCGGCAAGGACCGGGGAGATTTTGGGTGCACGGGGTCTGAGTGCCACGCTCTTCTCATCACCTTCCTTCCCCATGGATGATCGGATTTTGTTCCTCCACCCGGTGCCAATCCTGCAGAGCGAGTTGGCGCCGGGACCGCTCGCCGCTCTCCATCCCGTGACACCCCGCACGTCACCTCCCTGCCGGGGCCCAGCTCGAAGCCCCGAGCGTGCAGGAAGGGACAGAGCCGGGCACGGGCACCAGCAGCCCCCGTGGGAGCTCGGGCTGAGAGCAGGAGGCCTCCCTTGGTGTAAATTTGGGCAGGATGCGGCCGGTTCTCCTTTAGGAAATGGATGTCATTTCCTGTCCATCGCAGTCCCTCGCCTCCCTGCTCCGAGCATCCTCCCGCACACGGCTGTGGCCCCTGGCCCTCGAGGAAACCCGGCCGTGCACGACCACATTTGGAGGGCAGAGGAGGGAAAAAAATATCCACCAAAGTGCAGAGCATCCCAGTTAGGGGGGCAGTGAGAACACCAGCAAGGGGAAGGTGCAGGCGTGAGCTGCGTTTTGGGCTGTGTTACCCCACTGAGCCCTGGCAATGCTTGGAGGAGAGGGCAGGGGGGTGCCAGGCTGGGTGCACGGGGGGTCCTGCTCTGCATCCCCATCACCAGCTCGGGGCTGAGCTATGCCAGGACCAGCAGGAGCCGCGTGGCTGCTGTGGGGTCCCCAGGGCTCTGCCCGGCAGCGTGGGCAGGATCAGGCCCCGCGCTGGGGTTCAGTGCCCAGGTGCTGCGGCGGTGGCGGGGGCTCCAGCTCCAGGTTTTGCAGGCGCTCGCGTCTCTCCCATCAGCTGAACTGAAACCCTGGATCCCACCGAGCCACAAACTGGGATCTGGAGCCAAAGGTGACTCTTGGCCCTCGTTTCCATCACTGGGCGAAGCTAAAATCTGGATGCGAGCGAGGCGAGGAGCCTGGATGCGGCTCAGAATGCGCGCCTTGTGCTCCTCCTGACCATAAAATTGGATTTCCTGAAATAGCCTGTTGAAAACCAAACCCCAACAGGGACCGAATGACAGGTCAACAGGGGTGTGGAAGCCCCACCACGATCCTGGCTGCCTGCTTCGAGGCGTTGGCAGCCAGCAATAATAGTAATATACGGGGCCACTGCCTGCGAGGGCGCAGAGCCGGGGAGCTAAGAATAGCACCGAGCCGTGCCGGGGAAACTGGGGGGGCCGGGGGGGCCAGGGCACGTGGCCGGCGGTCAGATGGATCCTGGGGATGGGTGGATGGAGGCGGCTGCCTGCATCCCTCCTACACCCCACGGCACAGGTGATGTGGGCATGGCGAGGAAGGCAAGGGGATGGGGACACACGGAGAGGTGCCCGGGCTCGTGGAGCTGCGTAGCGCCCATCAGCGTGGCCTCGGGGCTCTGCGGTGTCAGCCGTGGGGTGCCGAGGGGGGGCTCAGCCTCACGGGGTCGGCCGCTCGCTGCCAGCTGCGGCGGACAGCACGTGGCAGCAGAGCCAGTGCCCGTCAGATTAAGGAGAATTAATTTGTGCTTTCCACCTTTCCGCAGGGCCGGGGGCGCTCCAGGCACCTGGTGTCCCCCCACCCCACGAGCAGATGTGCTCCAGCCTCTCCCTGTGTCAGCGCCTCTAAAACCTTCCCCAAATCCTAATTAAATTTTTCACGTTCCCCCCCGCCCCCCCACCCCCCGCCAGCTCACTCCTCCCCAAATGCTGGAGTTGGAACGAGCCATGACATGGTTTCTAATCAGCTTCTGAATTCATATTTCTCTTGGCTCTCTTTGGAGGAGGCTTTTCAAAGCCTTTGTCTGATGCTGCCCGAGCAGAGAGCTGCTCTGCGGTTCTCCCTCGAAGCCTCGCTAGCAGCCGGTGCCCGAGCAGCTCGGCGCTGCTCACGGGAGCAGGCAGGAGACCCTACCCAAACAAAGCGCTCTCCGTGGCAGGCAGCTCGCAGGGATGCACCAGCAGCACCCAGGGCTGCTGCCAAAAGCAGCCGGGTGGGAGCCGAGGCAGCAGCCTCCCCACCACAACCCAGGGGGCCGCAGCCCCCCTGGGGACCGCTGCCGGTGCTGCTGGGCTCCTGGCGAGCCCTGGGTGCTGCTGCAGGCGTTGTGCTGGCTCTGGCTCTGCGCTGCTCCCCGCACCCAGCTCCCGGCTGGGCACCCGGCCCCGCATGCCCGTCCTGGCTCGGCTCCTCTGCGGCCGGTGCATTGCTGCTTTTGGCTCCATCTCTGGCACCCGAAGCTTGTCGGCAGCGAGTTGTGGCTCCGAGCGAAGCCAGGGGATGCAAACACAAATCCCGGCGCTGCCAAGCCCCAATTAATAACCTGTGAATCATGAGGCCGCTGGAAGAGCAGATGTTTGCGGCGCGGGTGCCAGTGCTCAGCGCTTCACCCGGGGTCTGCCCGGCCCTGAGCAGCATCTCAGGGAGCCGGGCAGGGTAAGAGGGGCTGCGCTCCCCACCTGGCCCCTCTCCTGGTGGGGCCAGGAGCCATTTGGGCTGGAATCAGCTGAAGTTTGAGGTGGGCAGAGCGGAGCTGGAGAACAGCCTGGCCGTGGGAGTGCGGGGGTGCCGCGTCGGGAAACTGAAAGGTACCGAATGCCGGCGCGATGCCTGGCGGGGGGACCTGCCGCTGCCCCGGCTCCGCTGCTGCAGCTGTGGGGGGCTACGGGGCTCTGCTGGGGACCCCTCCGTTTGGGGACACGATGGGGAAACGCTGCGTGTCCTGGCTGTGGCTGGCCTCGCCGTGCTTGTGTGATGGTGGGGCAGGAGGAGGCCCCGTGCTGGGGCTGCCGGCATCGGCGCAGCGGGGCAGCAGGCAGGGCTCGGTGCTCCCAGCTCGCTTCTGCTCCGAGCACCCTAGGACCCAAGGGGCTGGGGGAGAGGGGAGCCATCCCCACGGTGCGTGCAGGTGGATTTGGGGAGCCGTGGGCACGCAGTGGGGCTGGCGGGGGCGAGGGCTGCGTGTGGGAGGTGTGGGGTAGCAGCGCCGGGGCGTGCGCGGGGGGCGCACGGCGGGTGCGGGAGCGGCTGCGTGGCCGTCCAGGTGCAGAGAGCGCTGCAGCAGCGGTGCCCGCGTGCCTTGTGCAGCCGTGCGTGCGCACAGCGGGGCCGCGTGGCCGTCCGTGCGCAGCCATGCACGGCGCGGGGGCGTGCGGGAGCTGCTCGGCGTGGGCAGCCCCTACCCGGGGCGCGGGGGCGGCTGGAGCGCGTGGGGACGCGGGGGTGTGTCTCGAGAGCGGGGACGCCGGCTCTGCCGCTGCCTCTCGCCGGCTTGGAAGGTGCCGGTGGCGGCTGGGAGCGTGGTCACCGCACTGGCTCGGGTGGCCGTGACCCTTGGGGACAGCGCCGTGGCATGGGCAGCCCCTGGGGATTTGGCAGGGAGAGAGCGAAGCTGGCCGCCGCCGCTCCGACATCCTCCGGCTCCCAGCGAGCGTGGATGGGCGACTGCACGGCTTAGGGGCTGGGGAAGGGTGAGTGGGGCGCAGGGGAGGAGAAAGGGGCACCGGGTGGGGTGGGGGGCTGAGCGGGACCCCCCTTTGGGGCTGATTCCCTCACCCCTGTGGTGCCAGTCCTAACCCTTTCCTGGCCGAGCCCTCCTCGCTGGCAGCCACCTCCTCGTCTCGGTGTGCAGCGTATGGCTCCCGGCCAGCCCTCGCCCAGACAAGCCCCGGCGCAGCTCGGAGCTTGCCCGGCCGGGATGGGGAGCTCCCAGCCCAGCCCCAAAATCTCTCCTCCCTTCCCCACAGCCCCGTGCTGTGCGTGCTGGGGCCGGGGGCTGTGCACGGCAGCGGGTGGTGCTGTGCCCGAGCTGGGCTCGCCCTTGGGGACGCGTTGCGCTCGCCCCTGTGGACCCGGTGGTCTCCGTGAGGGCGTTTGGTTAGGATGCAGGTGAGTGCCCCCTGCTCCAGGCCCCCCCGCACTGTGACACAGAGTGCTGGGGGTCCCTGTCGTGGTGGAGGGGCAGGAGGGAGCGGGGCTGTGCGCGTGCCGGAGGTTTTGTCCTGTGCTTTTGGGTGCGGGGGGAGCGGTGGCTCAGCGCCGGAGAGATCAGAGCCCAGGGCTTGGGGCTGTGAGAACAGGGGCTGGGGAGCTGGGGGATCCTTCCCCAAGCCCCCCCATGGGATGGGTGTGTTGGGGTGGGTGATTTTTACCCACACGTTGCATTCTGGAGGGATTTTCCTGCTCCGTGGCAGGGCAGTGAGCAGATTCCTGGTGGGGATGGAGCGAGTGTGCCGTGGTGGCACGGGGAAGGCAGGGCTGCACCCCGGTGCGAGCGCCAGCGATGGGGGCCCCCCCGGGGGCTGCTCTCAGCCCCTTGCTGGAGCCGGGGAGCCCCAGGTCTGTCTG